CACCATTTTGCATTGCTTCATAAAAAGTTCATGATCCTTTTTTATAAGTTCAGATACTATATATTCTAATTCTCCTCTATTATACCACTATAACTCTTCATAGAGCTCTTTTATTTGTTTATCAGCTCTTTCTTTTGAAAAGAGATTGTGTCCAATATATTTTGTCATTGTTTCTTTTAACTGTTCATTTATGTCTTCTTTAGCTATTTCTGCTATTAAGACTTGGATTTCTTTTAATACCACTTTCATGTTTTTAGATATTTCGATTTTTTTTTCTAGACACTTTGTTAATATTTGCATCATGTGATTTGATGTTTTTGCATTGTTATCAAAAGTTGTTGTTGTTTGCTGCACATATTTAATAGTTTTGTTTACTTTTGTCATATGGTTTTTGTTGTTTTTCCTTTGTTTATTTTCCATTATGTGTTGTGATTTTGGTATTACCAAAACAGATCTACAATTCAGGATCAAGGCTAATTCTTCAAAATTCATAAGTGCAAAAAAATATCAACGATTTTTCATAACTTCTTTTATTTTTTTGCTGGTTCTGTTTCTTTTATTCATGTCTTCTAAGAGGTGTGCCATTTATCATATAATATTTTTTACTTAGTAGCCACCCCTATTCATGTATGATGTGATCACCCCTAGCTTGATTCTAATTGACCGATTTAATTAATTATTAAAAATCTTCTTAATATATTTAAAATTGAATAACTTTTGATCTACTGATCTGATTTGGATGATTTAAATGTCAAAATGTTTGTTTGATGAGATAATTCAAATGAGTCCAAAATTGCTAAAATCGAATCACAGAATCCTGAGATTGTTAAGGTTTTTGTACTATTTCGTATATAATAAAATTAATTTTATTATATATGAAATAGTACAAAAAACCTTAACGATCTCAGGATTCTGTGATTAAATTTTAGTGATTTTGAACTCATTAGAATCGTCTTATCAAGACAAACATGTTGACAGTTAAATTATCTAAATCAGACTAGTAGATTAAAAGTTATTTAATATTAAAGATTTATTAATATATATATATAATTTATATATTATATATTTTATATTATATTTGATTATATACTATATTATATATATATATATGTATGTGATCTTTTACCTAACCATTTATCCATGGTATAAATCATGTGATTTCTGGCACTCTTCTAAGAGACTAAGTGTTTTTTGTGGTCTTCTTTCTCTTTTCTTAAAGCTCTAAGTTTAGTTTCCTAATAGTCTTGGAGTGTTTTTTGTAATTTTTATAGTTTTGTTTTTTCTGAAAATTTGTGTTTTAATGATCAGCATAAGCTAAATCTTTTTGCATTAAAGAGCATTAAATATTGTTACAGTTACACGGCCAAGTCGCTCAAGCCCATGACTCAAGTCCGACTCAAGCCCGTGACTCAAGCCCAACTCAAGCCCGTGACTCTAGTCCGATTCAAGCCCGACTCAAGCCCGTGACTCAATTCCGTGACTCAAGCCCGAAGCC